TGTCCCACAAAATGCCACGTTTTTTTCCTTAAAATCTATTTTTTTGCCACGTGACCAGCAGCGGTGCCACCCTCAACGACCATACTGTCTTTGAGATTATGCTGCATAACCAACGGCATATCCATGATTAGCCATGGAAGAAATACGCTCATGCAGCTCTACATATTGTCTCTTAGTTGTATTTATCACTTGGCAAAACGATGAGGAGGATGAGCTTGAAATTCACAAAACATCAGACCACTTTTAAAATTTTTATCAAAGTAATTTAATATGCAGTAAGTGTGCATTGTGGAGTATGTACTTAAATCAGAATAAAACATCAGTGTTAAGTGCTTTGTGTTACAAAGCATATAATTTGATGAATTTTCGATTATTTCCCATAAAAAAATTTCCTAAACTACCACTGGTTGCCTATCATATTTCCCGAAACTCGCGTTATAACGAAATGTTACCGGATATGAAATATATGACTCCACACGTTCTGGTTAAACACGATGGTAATAGAAAGCGAAACATCGGAAGCTTACTGCTTGAAAAGCGGCTCTTAACTTTACAATGAATGGTTAGGGTGATCGTAAAAATAAAGAATTCATCAGGCGAAAAGTATTGCAAGTATAAGAATAATAATTAAATGGTTTTATTAACTTATGGATGCTTAAGAAATTTATTGTTTTTGTCAACTCGATGGTTTAAGAGTTAAGGAATGAATGGTTCTAATGGCAAACGATACAATCCAGTTCTGACTGAAATCGCGCATAAACTATTTTGTGCTCCTAGTTTCCCAAAAGGAGGCACGCCATCGAGAAACCAACAAAACAGCTGGTAGTTACTATCACACAGCGATGACAAATATAACTGAATGAAGCCACAGATAACGTTTACTGCAGTCCTATCAAGAAAAAAACGTCTTCAAGCACAGTATAAAAACAGATTATAATTAGTTAATCTCAGGCAAATGTGAAAAAGATGTAATCACTCAAACATAAAACTAAAAACCACATGATCTGAAGCAGCGATCAACAACCTCAACAATTTGGAGAGATAAAACGATACTTTAAACTCTTTCGAGAAGATTTGATAAGTTGGTCATTCTAGTTGAAGCTGTTAGACGGAAGGACTCACTGATATCCCGTTACGAACTGAACTGTTTCGCTCTATGTTGTGATCTGGTGTTCAGTCGAAGTAAACAAACATGTCAACTTTGTGTTTTCCATAATCACAACGATAATCCACTGAGCAACTGCATGGCGATCAAGATAGCTTACCGTAATTCAATAGGACACTGCTGACAAAATGATTCAGATTCACCTTATACAACGGGAACGAGAGATGAATCACCCGCAAATCTTACACAAATGACACTGCTGGTGATTTGGAAAGCGCTGTTATAAAGGTATATTACAAGTGTACAACAGCGAATAGTGTTGAAAAACATCAAGTCGGTGTCGCAACGCTGAAGGACGACGTCTCCTAATCAACACAAAGTAAGAGAACATCAGTACAGACAATACTAAACTTCGGTAATAGGCCAATGGAAAGCCATCGTTGTTCTATGATCAAGTGCTGACACAGCTATATCATTGATAACGGAGCACCCTGTGAGGCTGCAAAATTCTGAAAAATACTTTGCATAGCACAACTTCGATAACTGAAAATTTATAAAATGAAATCTGACTGTCCATTAAATATAAACATCACTATGGAACACTTAAAATTAATTATAATGCTCTCGTGTTCCCTCCTGTGGTAGATCTCAAAACCTACTACTACTGACACCTGAAGATTAAGAAGAAAGAACGGGAAGGAATAGAGCATACAGATGAAACAAAGCAACGCATATCCAGGAACAGAATTCAGATAGCTCTAAGCCAAAGCGTCCTTGCATTTTAACGTAACTTACGTTATACTGTCCGCATCGAAATTTAAAATCTGTGACACAAAGTCGTCCCGCATTAAATAGCCGCGTATCGTCTTCCACTCCAGATTGCCGCTGGAGGTCAAGAGGAAGATGACCGCTTCGAGTGCCAGCTTAACGGACGACGGGGGACTTGACAACGAGCGTACTTCAACCAGGTGCTGGCGTTTGATGCTGCGAACGGCTAGACGGAAAGAAATGATGCGATGAAAGAAACGCGGTGGTAGCGATGGCTTTAGAACTGAGCCTAGCCGTACACCGGCTGAGGACGGGACACTGACGATGACGGCGGTACAACAGCGTTAC